TTAGTTGGATCTTAGATAAACACTCTCGCAAGGCTGACGACTTTTTTTCTTTACTGAATGTACCGTATTACAGTATTTGTCTTTCCATGGAAATCAGGGCGCGCTCCCAAAGGTATATTTCTTCAAGGCCTTCGCCGACGGGGTCCGCCGTCGGCACAACGTTTTAGGGCCTTGGCCAGTCAAATGGTTGCAAGGCCTAACAACCATTTCACTTTCAAGTTTGTGCTTTAATACTGTACGAGCGTACAAACTTGACAAGTACGGATAGGATAGGTGCAGAACTTTTGACTGTTTAGAACGCGGTCCTATAGAGAATGCTGAGATGATGTTCTCTATCCACGAGCACAGATGTACTGTTGGCAACAGTGTTGCCTCTCCCGAACAATCCGAAATCAAGTTCTCAGCCGGTTAATCATTTCATCTAAACCGAGGCTTAGAACGACTCAAGCAGTGATGAGGCCCATTTTCTCACTGCGAACACATCCATCTAACCTGCGTTTACGGGATACTTACAGTTTTTTTCTCTTACTTTGCGGCAAAAGGGCACATTCTACAGCTACAGGGCTCATTTTGTATAAATTCAGCCGCCGAAGGCGACAGTTCTTGATGAAGTTGGTCGCCATGCATTTGCCGTCAAAGTTTACACTGTCCAAGACGCGAAAATATCTTGGGATTCCCAAGTCGGAGACAGCGAACAAGCAAAACGCTGCGTACAAGACTGGCTTCTTCAAACAGATCCGCTGGCGGGCATAGTGGAGGATCTGCCTGGGATCTATCTGACTTGGAGCTGTTGCCGACCAAACGCGCGCCTAGGTGTTCGTCGCAAATAGCCCTCAATCCTTTCAGATGGGGTATATCGTGCTCGTGCATAAACGATAGTACTATGCAGCAAACTATGCGCCGTGCTGTTCTTCGGATGGGACTTGCTCCGGATTGAACGCCTTGAGATAGAAACCAGGATGGTGTCGTGGGAGTCAGAAACCTATCATACCATCGTTCATTCTCCAATTCGCGAAGCGCAGCACACACCTCTCGTCTCCCGAATCACATCAAAAATGAAGTTCGCTGCTGGCCTTGTTCTTGCGGCTCTCGCCGTCACCGCCGCCAACGCCGGCAACCCGGCCTACCTCCGCTCGTCGGACGATGCCAGCGCCAGCGAGGACTTCGACTTCTCGGCCTCGGACTCGCTCGACGCCAGCGGCAGCGACGGCTGCCCGGACGAGTGCCCGGAAATATACAAGCCCGTTAAGGACGATACGGGGTTCGAGTACCCGAACGAGTGCTACATGCGCAAGGCCCAGTGCCTCACGAACGACGTGAACAACCTGTTCGTCAGAGAGGGCACCGACTGGACGTTCACCGTGGCGTCGCTTTTTGGCAGCAGCAGCAGTGCCAGGGACACATATCAGCAAGTCCTTGACGTCTTAGATAAATTTGCGAGTTCATCTGGCAGTGGCAGCGACAAGGTCGACCTTCAGGACATCATCGACGCCTTCGAGGAGGAGCAGGCCTCGGACGACAGCGAGTCTGGCAGCGACGACGACCTGTCGTGGCTCCTTGACAGCGACTCGGAGTCCGGCAGCGAGGACCCCACCCTTGTGAAGGGCAAGGGTGGCGTCGCCACCAAGGGCAAGACCCCTATCTACGAGGATGACAGCGAGTCGGGCACCGACGACCTCTCGTGGCTGGACGACAGCGACTCGGAGTTTGGCAGCGAGGACCCTACCCTTGTGAAGGGTGCCACCAAGGGCAAGACCCCCATCGTTCAGGACGACTCGGAGTCCGGCAGCGACGACGACGTCCTGGTGAAGGGCGTCAAGGAGCCCGCCACCAAGTCGTCCAAGTCGAGCAAGACTGAGAAGGCCACCAAGACGGGCACGACCACCGACCTAATTGACCAGCTCTTCGACGACGCCTCGGAGGACGGCATCATTGGCGACGAGTCCGATGAGGAGGACCCGACGCTGGTGAAGGGCGCCACCAAGGGCGGCGCTGCCACCAAGGGCAAGACCCCCCTGTACGAGGAGGATGACAGCGAGTCCGAGTCTGCTTCGGACGAGGACGACCACCTCCAGCATGAGCAGCTCCAGACTTCCGTGGCCGAGAAGGCGGCGACCAAGAGCTCCAAGACTCTGCTGCCCTAAGCTTAAGGTTCCTTTTTAAATGACGGTTTAATGTTCATGCAGATATCGGTGTAGTTTGTAAAGGTTTTTGATTCTACAGTGTGTTAGATGTGGTGACATGCTACGTTATACATGGTGCCACGGTGAAGCCGTAAGGCTGACGTGTAGTGGACAAATGTGTGCGTCTAGGAAAGACCCGGGTGCTACAAGAGCGAATTTCCCCGGGCGGGTTGCCGACTGGTTGTGCACGGTACTCGTAAACGTTGTGCATCACAATCCTGCTGCTGGCCAAGACAGGCTTACAGTACAGTACTGTAGCGACATGAAGCAAATGCATGAAGTCTTGTGCAGGGATTAGTTGGATCTTTGATAAACACTCTCGCAAGGCTGACGACTTTTTTTCTTTACTGAATGTACCGTATTACAGTATTTGTCTTTCCATGGAAATCAGGGCGCGCTCCCAAAGGTATATTTCTTCAAGGCCTTCGCCGACGGGGTCCGCCGTCGGCACAACGTTTTAGGGCCTTGGCCAGTCAAATGGTTGCAAGGCCTAACAACCATTTCACTTTCAAGTTTGTGCTTTAATACTGTACGAGCGTACAAACTTGACAAGTACGGATAGGATAGGTGCAGAACTTTTGACTGTTTAGAACGCGGTCCTATAGAGAATGCTGAGATGATGTTCTCTATCCACGAGCACAGATGTACTGTTGGCAACAGTGTTGCCTCTCCCGAACAATCCGAAATCAAGTTCTCAGCCGGTTAATCATTTCATCTAAACCGAGGCTTAGAACGACTCAAGCAGTGATGAGGCCCATTTTCTCACTGCGAACACATCCATCTAACCTGCGTTTACGGGATACTTACAGTTTTTTTCTCTTACTTTGCGGCAAAAGGGCACATTCTACAGCTACAGGGCTCATTTTGTATAAATTTCAGCCGCCGAAGGCGACAGTTCTTGATGAAGTTGGTCGCCATGCATTTGCCGTCAAAGTTTACACTGTCCAAGACGCGAAAATATCTTGGGATTCCCAAGTCGGAGACAGCGAACAAGCAAAACGCTGCGTACAAGACTGGCTTCTTCAAACAGATCCGCTGGCGGGCATAGTGGAGGATCTGCCTGGGATCTATCTGACTTGGAGCTGTTGCCGACCAAACGCGCGCCTAGGTGCTCGTCGCAAATAGCCCTCAATCCTTTCAGATGGGGTATATCGTGCTCGTGCATAAACGATAGTACTATGCAGCAAACTATGCGCCGTGCTGTTCTTCGGATGGGACTTGCTCCGGATTGAACGCCTTGAGATAGAAACCAGGATGGTGTCGTGGGAGTCAGGAGCCTATCATACCATCGTTCATTCTCCAATTCGCGAAGCGCAGCACACACCTCTCGTCTCCCGAATCACATCAAAAATGAAGTTCGCTGCTGGCCTTGTTCTTGCGGCTCTCGCCGTCACCGCCGCCAACGCCGGCAACCCGGCCTACCTCCGCTCGTCGGACGATGCCAGCGCCAGCGAGGACTTCGACTTCTCGGCCTCGGACTCGCTCGACGCCAGCGGCAGCGACGGCTGCCCAGACGAGTGCCCGGACAAGTACAAGCCCGTTATGGACGATGCGGGTGTCGAGTACCCGAACAAGTGCTTCTTGCGCATGGCACAGTGCAAGGGCACCAGCAGCGGCTCGCTTGATCTGAGTGACTTCTACGGCAGCGGCAGCATCGACTTGGATGACCTCACCATCGACCTGACGGACCTGTTCGGCAGCGACAGCACCGACGTCAGCGACGTGACGGTCAACATTATGTCGTTGATCGGCAGTGGCAGCGACCAGGTCGACCTTCAGGACATCATCGACGCCTTCGAGGAGGAGCAGGCCTCGGACGACAGCGAGTCTGGCAGCGACGACGACCTGTCGTGGCTCCTTGACAGCGACTCGGAGTCCGGCAGCGAGGACCCCACCCTTGTGAAGGGCAAGGGTGGCGTCGCCACCAAGGGCAAGACCCCTATCTACGAGGATGACAGCGAGTCGGGCACCGACGACCTCTCGTGGCTGGACGACAGCGACTCGGAGTTTGGCAGCGAGGACCCTACCCTTGTGAAGGGTGCCACCAAGAGCAAGACCCCCATCGTTCAGGACGACTCGGAGTCCGGCAGCGACGACCTGTCTTGGCTCCTTGACAGCGACTCGGAGTCCGGTAGCGAGGACCCCATCCTCGTGAAAGGCGTCAACAAGGGCGGCGCTGCCACCAAGGGCAAGACCCCCATCTACGAGGACGACTCGGAGTCCGGCAGCGACGACGACGTCCTGGTGAAGGGCGGCAAGGAGCCCGCCACCAAGTCGTCCAAGTCGAGCAAGACTGAGAAGGCCACTAAGACGGGTACGACCACCGGCTCCATTGGCGAGCTCTTCGACGACGCCTCGGAGGGTGGCATCATTGGCGACGAGTCCGATGAGGAGGACCCGACGCTGGTGAAGGGCGCCACCAAGGGCGGCGCTGCCACCAAGGGCAAGACCCCCCTGTACGAGGAGGATGACAGCGAGTCCGAGTCTGCTTCGGACGAGGACGACCACCTCCAGCATGAGCAGCTCCAGACTTCCGTGGCCGAGAAGGCGGCGACCAAGAGCTCCAAGACTCTGCTGCCCTAAGCTTAAGGTTCCTTTTTAAATGACGGTTTAATGTTCATGCAGATATCGGTGTAGTTTGTAAAGGTTTTTGATTCTACAGTGTGTTAGATGTGGTGACATGCTACGTTATACATGGTGCCACGGTGAAGCGGTAAGGCTGACGTGTAGTGGACAAATGTGTGCGTCTAGGAAAGACCCGGGTGCTACAAGAGCGAATTTCCCCGGGCGGGTTGCCGACTGGTTGTGCACGGTACTCGTAAACGTTGTGCATCACAATCCTGCTGCTGGCCAAGACAGGCTTACAGTACAGTACTGTAGCGACATGAAGCAAATGCATGAAGTCTTGTGCAGGGATTAGTTGGATCTTTGATAAACACTCTCGCAAGGCTGACGACTTTTTTTCTTTACTGAATGTACCGTATTACAGTATTTGTCTTTCCATGGAAATCAGGGCGCGCTCCCAAAGGTATATTTCTTCAAGGCCTTCGCCGACGGGGTCCGCCGTCGGCACAACGTTTTAGGGCCTTGGCCAGTCAAATGGTTGCAAGGCCTAACAACCATTTCACTTTCAAGTTTGTGCTTTAATACTGTACGAGCGTACAAACTTGACAAGTACGGATAGGATAGGTGCAGAACTTTTGACTGTTTAGAACGCGGTCCTATAGAGAATGCTGAGATGATGTTCTCTATCCACGAGCACAGATGTACTGTTGGCAACAGTGTTGCCTCTCCCGAACAATCCGAAATCAAGTTCTCAGCCGGTTAATCATTTCATCTAAACCGAGGCTTAGAACGACTCAAGCAGTGATGAGGCCCATTTTCTCACTGCGAACACATCCATCTAACCTGCGTTTACGGGATACTTACAGTTTTTTTCTCTTACTTTGCGGCAAAAGGGCACATTCTACAGCTACAGGGCTCATTTTGTATAAATTTCAGCCGCCGAAGGCGACAGTTCTTGATGAAGTTGGTCGCCATGCATTTGCCGTCAAAGTTTACACTGTCCAAGACGCGAAAATATCTTGGGATTCCCAAGTCGGAGACAGCGAACAAGCAAAACGCTGCGTACAAGACTGGCTTCTTCAAACAGATCCGGAGGCGGGCATAGTGGAGGATCTGCCTGGGATCTATCTGACTTGGAGCTGTTGCCGACCAAACGCGCGCCTAGGTGTTCGTCGCAAACAGCCCTCAATCCATCCAGATGGGGTTTATCGTGCTCGTGCATAAACGATAGTACTATGCAGCAACTATGCGCCGTGCTGTTCTTCAATGGGACTTGCTCCGGATTGAACGCCTTGAGATAGAAACCAGGATGGTGTCGTGGGAGTCAGGAGCCTATCATACCATCGTTCATTCTCCAATTCGCGAAGCGCAGCACACACCTCTCGTCTCCCGAATCACATCAAAAATGAAGTTCGCTGCTGGCCTTGTTCTTGCGGCTCTCGCCGTCACCGCCGCCAACGCCGGCAACCCGGCCTACCTCCGCTCGTCGGACGATGCCAGCGCCAGCGAGGACTTCGACTTCTCGGCCTCGGACTCGCTCGACGCCAGCGGCAGCGACGCCTGCCCGGACAAGTGCCCGGACAAGTACGAGCCCGTTAGGGACGATACGGGTGTCGAGCACACGAACGAGTGCCGCATGCGCATGGCCCAGTGCCTCACGAACGACGTGAACAACCTGTTCGTCAGAGAGGGCATCGACTGGACGTTCACCGTGGCGTCGCTTTTTGGCAGCAGCAGCAGTGCCCAGGACAAACGTCAGCAACTCATTGACGTCTTACAGAAATTTACGAGTTCATCTGGCAGGGTCGACCTTCAGGACATCATCGACGCCTTCGAGGAGGAGCAGGCCTCGGACGACAGCGAGTCTGGCAGCGACGACGACCTGTCGTGGCTCCTTGACAGCGGCTCGGAGTCCGGCAGCGAGGACCCCACCCTTGTGAAGGGCAAGGGTGGCGTCGCCACCAAGGGCAAGACCCCTATCTACGAGGATGACAGCGAGTCGGGCACCGACGACCTCTCGTGGCTGGACGACAGCGACTCGGAGTTTGGCAGCGAGGACCCTACCCTTGTGAAGGGTGCCACCAAGAGCAAGACCCCCATCGTTCAGGACGACTCGGAGTCCGGCAGCGACGACCTGTCTTGGCTCCTTGACAGCGACTCGGAGTCCGGTAGCGAGGACCCCATCCTCGTGAAAGGCGTCAACAAGGGCGGCGCTGCCACCAAGGGCAAGACCCCCATCTACGAGGACGACTCGGAGTCCGGCAGCGACGACGACGTCCTGGTGAAGGGCGGCAAGGAGCCCGCCACCAAGTCGTCCAAGTCGAGCAAGACTGAGAAGGCCACTAAGACGGGTACGACCACCGGCTCCATTGGCGAGCTCTTCGACGACGCCTCGGAGGGTGGCATCATTGGCGACGAGTCCGATGAGGAGGACCCGACGCTGGTGAAGGGCGCCACCAAGGGCAAGACCCCCATCGTTCAGGACGACTCGGAGTCCGGCAGCGACGACGACGTCCTGGTGAAGGGCGTCAAGGAGCCCGCCACCAAGTCGTCTAAGTCGAGCAAGACTGAGAAGGCCACCAAGACGGGCACGACCACCGACCTAATTGGCGAGCTCTTCGACGACGCCTCGGAGGACGGCATCATTGGCGACGAGTCCGATGAGGAGGACCCGACGCTGGTGAAGGGCGCCACCAAGGGCGGCGCTGCCACCAAGGGCAAGACCCCCCTGTACGAGGAGGATGACAGCGAGTCCGAGTCTGCTTCGGACGAGGACGACCACCTCCAGCATGAGCAGCTCCAGACTTCCGTGGCCGAGAAGGCGGCGACCAAGAGCTCCAAGACTCTGCTGCCCTAAGCTTAAGGTTCCTTTTTAAATGACGGTTTAATGTTCATGCAGATATCGGTGTAGTTTGTAAAGGTTTTTGATTCTACAGTGTGTTAGATGTGGTGACATGCTACGTTATACATGGTGCCACGGTGAAGCGGTAAGGCTGACGTGTAGTGGACAAATGTGTGCGTCTAGGAAAGACCCGGGTGCTACAAGAGCGAATTTCCCCGGGCGGGTTGCCGACTGGTTGTGCACGGTACTCGTAAACGTTGTGCATCACAATCCTGCTGCTGGCCAAGACAGGCTTACAGTACAGTACTGTAGCGACATGAAGCAAATGCATGAAGTCTTGTGCAGGGATTACTTGGATCTTAGATAAACACTCTCGCAAGGCTGACGACTTTTTTTCTTTACTGAATGTACCGTATTACAGTATTTGTCTTTCCATGGAAATCAGGGCGCGCTCCCAAAGGTATATTTCTTCAAGGCCTTCGCCGACGGGGTCCGCCGTCGGCACAACGTTTTAGGGCCTTGGCCAGTCAAATGGTTGCAAGGCCTAACAACCATTTCACTTTCAAGTTTGTGCTTTAATACTGTACGAGCGTACAAACTTGACAAGTACGGATAGGATAGGTGCAGAACTTTTGACTGTTTAGAACGCGGTCCTATAGAGAATGCTGAGATGATGTTCTCTATCCACGAGCACAGATGTACTGTTGGCAACAGTGTTGCCTCTCCCGAACAATCCGAAATCAAGTTCTCAGCCGGTTAATCATTTCATCTAAACCGAGGCTTAGAACGACTCAAGCAGTGATGAGGCCCATTTTCTCACTGCGAACACATCCATCTAACCTGCGTTTACGGGATACTTACAGTTTTTTTCTCTTACTTTGCGGCAAAAGGGCACATTCTACAGCTACAGGGCTCATTTTGTATAAATTTCAGCCGCCGAAGGCGACAGTTCTTGATGAAGTTGGTCGCCATGCATTTGCCGTCAAAGTTTACACTGTCCAAGACGCGAAAATATCTTGGGATTCCCAAGTCGGAGACAGCGAACAAGCAAAACGCTGCGTACAAGACTTGCTTCTTCAAGCAGATCCGCTGGCGGGCATAGTGGAGGATCTGCCTGGGATCTATCTGACTTGGAGCTGTTG